TCTATTTTGTTTATTTTTTCAAAGAATCAGGTCTTGGTTTCATTGATGTTCTCTTGTTTTTTTTTCTCAATTTAATTATTTCTTCTCTGATTTTTATTATGTCCCTCCTTCTGCCGACTTTGGGCCTCAATTGTTCTTCTTTTTCCAGTTTCAAAAATTGTGACTTTAGACTATTCATTTGGGATTGTTCTTCCTTGTTTAAATAGGCCAGGATTGCTATATACTTTCCTTTTAGAACTGCGTTCCCTGCATCCCACAGAAGTTGGGGCTTTATGCTGTCATTGTCACTTGTCTCCATATATTGCTTGATCTCTGTTTTAATTTGATCATTGATACATTGATTATTTAGAAGCAGGTTGTTAAGGCTCCATGTGTTTGTGAGCCTTTTTGTTTCCTTTGTACAATTTATTTCTAGTTTAATGACTTTGTGGTCTGAGAAGTTGGTTGGAGGAATTTCAATCTTTTTGAATTTACTGAGGCTCTTTTGTGGCCTAGTATGTGGTCTATTCTGGAAAATATTCCATGTGCGCTTGAGAAGCATGTGTATCCTGCTGCTTTAGGGTGTAAATTTCTGTAGATGTCTATTAAGTCCATCTGTTCTAGGGTGTTGTTCAGTGGCTCTCTGTCCTTACTTATTCTATGTCTGGTGGATCTGTCCTTTGGAGTGAGTGCTGTGTTGAAGTCTCCTAGAACGAGTGCATTGCATTCTACTTCCTCTAATTGTGTTCGTATCTGTTTCACATATGTTGGTGCTCCTGTATCAGGTGCATATATATTTATAATGGTTATATCCTCTTGATGGACTGACCCCTTTATCATTATGTAATGTCTTTCTTTATCTCTTGTTATTTTCTTTATTTTGAAGTCTATTTTGTCTGATACAAGTAGTGCATACACCTGCTTTTTCCTCCCTGTTGTTTGCATGAAATATCTTTTCCATCCCTTGACTTTTAGTCTGTGTATGTCTTTGGGTTTGAAGTGAGGCTCTTATAAGCAGCTTATAGATGGGCCTTGCTTTTTTATCCATTCTGTTACTCTGTGTCTTTTGATTGGTGCATTCAGTCCATTTAAGTTTAGGGTGATTATTTAAAGATATGTACTTATTGCCATTGCAGGCTTTAGACTCGTGCTTACCAAAGGTTCAAGGGTAGCTTCTTTACTATGTATCCATCTAACTTAACGCTCTTTTTCAACTATTATAAACACTGTCTGATGATTCTTTATTTCTCTCCCTTCTTATTCCTCATCCCCCATTCTTTATATGTCAGGTGTTTTATTCTATACTCTTTTGTGTTTGATTTGACTGCTTTTGTGAGTAGCAGATTTTATTTTTTTCCTTCAGTTAGTATTTGGTTGGTCTGCTTTCTTTGGTGTGATTTAATTTTCTTTGTTGACATCTATTTGCCCTAAGGAGGGATTCAATCTAGAGCAGTACCTCTAGAATATACTGTAGGGGTGGTTTGTGGGAAGCCACTTCACTCAACTTTTGTTTGTCTGGGAATTGTTTAATCCCTTCTCCACATTTAAATGATAATCATGTTGGATACTGTATTCTTGGTTCAAGGCCCTTCTGTTTCATTGCATTAAATATATCATGCCATTCTCCTCTGGCCTGTATGGTTTCTGTTGAGAAGTCTGATGATAGCTGGATAGGTTTTCCTTTTTAGGTGACCTTTTTCCTCTCTCTGACTGCCTTTAATACTCTGTCCTTGTCTCTGATCTTTGCCATTTTAATTATTATGTGTCTTTGTGTTGTCTTCCTTGCATCCCTTGTGTTGGGAGTTCTGTGTGCCTCCATGGTCTGAGAGACTATTTCCTCCCCCAGTTTGGGGAAGTTTTCAGTAATTATTTCTTCAAAGACAGTTTCTATCTCTTTTTCTCTCTCTTCTTTTTCTGGTACCCCTATAATGCGAATATTGTTGCATTTGGATTAGTCACACAATTCTCTTAATATTCTTTCATTCCTGGAGATCCTTTTATCTCTCTCTGCCTCAGCTTCTCTGTATTCCTGTTCTCTGATTTCTATTCCATTAACGGCCTCTTGCACCTCATCCAGTCTGGTCTTAAGCCCTTCCAGGGATTGTTTTATTTCTGTATTCTCCCTCCCAACTTGATCCTTTAGCTCTTGTGTATTTCTCTTCAGGTCCATCAGCATCATCATGACCTTTATTTTGAATTCTTTTTCAGGAAGATTGGTTAAATCTATGTCCCCAGGCCCTCTCTCAGGGATTGTCTGGGTAATTCTGGACTGGACCAAATTTTTCTGCCTTTTCATGGCGATAGAGATAGCTGTTGGCAGGTAGTGCATGTGTCAGCTGGGAGAACAAAATCCTTTCCTGTTTGCTGGTAGCCTTGCCCTTTTCCACTGCCTGTGTCGGTTACCCGCACTCCTGGAGCAGCCTCTGGATTAATCTCCTAAGCTGCCATATGCGGGGTTGCCTTTAGGGTAGACCAGAGCCCTGTGGGGAGTGCCAGGTGTGTTGGGTGTGCTCTCCTGTGAGAGCGGTGCCCCTCTGTCTGCACCAGGCTGCTGCACACTGGCAGCGGCCTTTGGGTCTGGCCTGGGTGGCTGTGTGCTGAGAGGAGATTCGGGGCGGCTTCTGGGGACATGGTCACTCCCAGGGCGCTGCACTGGCTGCCACGGGCACACGCAGCCACTCTCTGACTACTGGCCCACTATTTTGGGGGTTGTACCTGCCGGCGGAATGACTGGCAGTCTATTTTTCACTGTGAGAGGCTTCAGAGCTGCGCTGTCTCCCCAGGGGTTAGGGCGCCTGGAGTTCCCCAGTATTCACAGCTAGTGGGTTTAGTGTGCCAGGACAATTCTGTCCAGCTGTGGGGTCCCTGTCCCTTTAAGTCTTTCCAAAAGCACTCGCTTTTCTTTTGTCCTCGGGGAGCTGGTTGTGGGGACCCACTTGCATATTTTGCTTTTCTGTTTCTCTAATATCCTGCACACCGTGTACTGTGTGTCTGCGCTCCCGGTGCTGATTACTGGAGCTGGTTGTATAGCAGTCTTGGGCTTTCGCTCCCTCCCCACTCCGACTCCTTTCCTCCCACCAGGGAGCTGGAATGGGGGGAGCGTTCGGGTCCCACTGGGTCACGGCTTGTATCTTACCCCCTTCATGAGATTCTGAGTTCTTGCAGATGTAGATGTAGCCTGGGTGTTGTGCTGTATCCACTGGTCTTTCTTTTAGAAATAGTTGTATTTGTTATGTTTTCCAAAATATATACAGTTTTGGGAGGAGATTTCCATTGCCCTACTCACGTCACCATCTCGGCTCCTGGAGTCATATATTTTTTAAGGCCCAAATCCATACAACTCTGAGCTCTATCTAGCAAACTGAGTCTAGATTTCCCTTAGGGGTCTCCTCCCTAGATAATTCCAGTGACTGAAGGGTTACTACATTCTTCCAAAGGGGTCTTTCCTAGTTAGTGAAGGTGGGGGTCACAGTGCCCGGTCCAAGCTCCTTCTCTGCTGCCTTGCAGCTGCCAAAGGTCATTGCCAAGTCCCAGGAAGCATGGCTTGGCTGCACAGGCTAGAGAGAACAAATGCCTATTCCTCCCATGCTGTAGCTCCCCAGACACACAGGGCAAAATGGTCAGTCCTCACCTACCAATACCCTCCAACTGCAGACACAACCTTTTTTCACTCTTAGTCTCCCAAAGCACAGCCAAAGACAGGTTGTAGACAATGGGAAAAAGGGCACAGTCAATAGCACTGTCTGCCAATAGTTAGTAAATTTGAAGGTCACTTTTAAATGAAGAAAAAATGTTGCTAATGCTCAAATGCTAAATTAAATTGTTTCTTAATTATGTGTAAACATAAGATTAGGTAAGAAGTCCTTATTCTCATAGCAGTTCTACATCTATAAAACAAATTTTCAAATTAAATTAACAAAATTAAAGTTTTGATTAATATTACATATGTAAGGTAGTAGATGATTTTGCTTTGCTGAGATTAAATTTCCCCTTTCCATGAAAATATGGAACTCACTACTGTGATAGGAGGTTTTCTAGGCATGCTTATAATTGACTTACTTATCCCAATATTCTTCTCTATTAGAATTTCTGTGAAACTTTTCTACAGTTGTCATGAGGACACTTGACCTTCACTTAGCCAGAATGTATCACTCCCTAAGAAGTATTCTATTCTTTTCTCATTAGTCCAAAGAATGTTTTAGTTATAATTATTGGTGCCAAATACAAAATCAAGTGGCAGTATTTGATTACAAGGGGTTATCAAAATCATCCAAAATAGGTATACATAAATTGTTTAAGATTATAATTTAAATAAATGCAAAAATTCATATGTTTATAGAGAATTTGCAATATGTATGATTCCATTTATATGAAATGTCCAGGGTAGGGAAATAAAAACAGGAAGTAGATAAGTGGTTGTCAGGGGGAGGAGGGAGTAGAGAGTGACAGCTGCTAATGGGTACAGAAATTTTTTGGGGTGCTGAAAATGTTCTGGAATTAGTGGTGATGGCTGCATAACATTGTAAATGAAGTAAAAATCCACCCTAAAAGGGTGAGTTTTATGGTATGTGAAATACGTCCCAATTTTTAAAAAAGTGACTTAACAGTTTCCCTAAAGAATAGTTGCTGGAGGTAAGGTTTACATTTCTTTACCTAATGGGCTTATTTTGTGGAGTTTCCCAAAACAAAGAGTGTCCCTCCCTGCCCCTTCAATGTTGAGACTCCAGCTACATTTATATTAGAAATCAGATTTGTATTTGTATAATCGGTCACTGTGGTTTACGTGTGGGGCAGTAAAAATGAGCCAGAGAAGGAAAGCCTGGAGATAGGAAATTAGTTGGGTAACTAGTTACAAGGCTCTACAGGGCATCAATAACGACAAACCTAGATCAGACTAGCCTAACCCAGAGACACAGTAACTTACCATATTGAAGCTAAGAGCCTGCACTTTTTTGACACCAGGCAGTGTTATCAGGCATTAGAGGGGATAAAAAGATGACTAAGACAAAGATCTTGTCCTCAACTAGCTTACCATGTAGTAGTGACAATAAAACCCACGTAAGTAACACAGAATAGGAAGTACATTGTGATAAAAAAGGGAGGTACATACTATCAATGTCAAAGGAAGAAGTTCTTACTTCTGGTGGAAGTTCCATGTGATCTGTGGCTGGAGGAGAATTGGTTGTTGAGAGGTGGCCATGAAGTGAAGGGGCATTTTAGTAGAAGGAATTGTGTAAACAAAGGCATAGAAAATGGAGATCTAGAAGCAGGAAAGGGAAGGATGAATGAGCACTAGCTGGACTAAGCTCTGGGAAGGAAAACAGAAGAGGTAAAACAGGAATAACACAGACTAACAGATTGATGGAAAAACTGATCATGTGTGTGAAGGAGAAGAGGGTCAACAGAAATTGCTTTTCCACAGATTTTTATAAATGTGCAAGATTTCATATTGCAATGCTTCCTCTCGGTAAATAGGACTTTGTTGGCTTAGAGGGAAAGTGATTTCTGAAAGAAAGTTTCTATGACGGCCAACTCTGGTGGGGTACCGAAGCTAAGAGCAAAGAAGAGCAAGAAGGCGCCAGACGACAGGAAAGGGAACTGACAAAAATGAATGCAAAAAAGGAATGTGAGGGTCCCTGAATCCTTCCTCCTATCATTTCAGTTGAGGTCACCCCGCCCGTAGGCGTCTGTCTTATCACCAATAAGTTTGTACCATCAATAAAATAGTAGAATTCACCTGGCTAAGAACCCTGGCGTGATAACGCCAAATTCATGTGCATTATCAGAATGTATTAATTCAGTTTTTAAAAACACACTGTCCCTGGCACACGGATGGCACCCAAACATTTGCTTTATAAATTAATGATGTCTTTTCTGTGTTTTAGGGCCTATATTAGGAGAGGAAATGATTCAAAACTGCATCCTAAAATCTATATCCTCTGCTAGCACTTAAGTTGCAACGACCTAGTTCCAAGAAGTCTGGTTTCGCCTTTTAAAACAGGTTTTTGCCCTTCCGTCAGGTCCCTTAGTCAGTAGGTCCAGCAGAGGTCGCAGTTCGAAAGGCCAATCACTGCTAGGCCATGGGGCGGAGCCACAGCGCCCCGCCTCTCCTCCCAACCCGGCTCCACAACCTATCCAGGTCCGGCCTCCCGCGCACCTGCGTGTCTCCCCACGCGGAGGCTGTGCGATTCTCCAGCCGCGTTAGCGGGAAGGGGTTTGGCCTTGTCTCTCGCGATATCGCCTCCTGCTGCTGCCGCTGTTGCTGCTGGGGCTGCCCGAAGGTCCGGGCAGCTGAGTGGTGGCGACTGCGCAGCCGCTACGTTCGGTTGCTATGCTGTGGCCTGGGAGACGGGGCGTGCTTGAGGGAGGAGACGGAGGAGGAGGGAAAGGAGGAGGAGGGAAAGGAGGAGGAGGAGGAGAAGGTGGAGGAAGGAGGGCGTTGAGCTCCGCCTGCACTCACACACAAACGCTGCTCAGGATTACCCGCTCGCTCCCGCCGCGCTGTGCGCTTTTCCGCGCCTCGCGGCGCCCCCACATTGTTCTCGCCGGACTCTTGGGTCCTCAGGGGCTGAATTCGGGCCTAAGCCGGGAGAGCAGAGACTTGGCCTTGGCTGAAGGGTCGGAGCATTGGGGCCAGGCTCCCCTCCCCCACGGCACTGTGCGGGGTGTGGATTATCTCATCCCCGCAGAGGTGGGAGCGCACGCCGGCTGCCCGCCTCCCCCCGCCTCTTCGGCGGCGCCGGTCGCGGCAGCCCTGCAGTATGAGGTGGTGCTGGCGGCTCCGGGCCGTGGCGGGGCCGCTACGGCGGCGGCTGCCGGCGGAGCACTGAGGCAGCCCCCGGGAGCGGCGCGGCGGACTCGCTTTCTTCTCCAGCGGAGAGGACGCGGCTGTAGTGAGAAGGTAAGAGGCTCGCAGGTCCTCTCCGACCTCTCGGCCCCGCGCCGGACGCGAGGCTGTTCCCTGGGGCGTGTGCGACTCTGGCGAGGCGAGCCAGGTAAGGCAGGCCGGAGATAACGATGATATAAAAGGGAAGAAAAAGACGCCCTCCCCCACGTTTTCCTCCGGACCTCTGCTCTCGCAGCTCCCTGCGGTTATCGTTAGAATCTCTGCTAAGGGTGAGCGAAGGGAGAGGGATGGAATAGGTGCGGAGATGGAATGTTCCACTGTACCTAAACTCTACCGAGTTTTCCATTGCTGGTAGGGTTCCCTCCCCCCTCTTTTTAATTGGCTCGTATAATTGCCTCCTCCATGCTGCTTGGGCAGACTGCCCCTGCCATTGAAGTTTTCAAGTCCCTTACGATTCTACTGCTATATACTGGTATTTAGGGATGTTTAGTTGGGGCGAAAAGTTGAGATGTAGCTATGTAGTTGAATAGACTTAGCAGTGTATTTCCCAAGGTCTCCTTAAAATGGAACAGTTTACCATTGCACACTGTATAGATGTTTCTGTGAAACTCAAAAGAGTGGGAGACTATGTTGCATTGTATAGTGACACCACTATGGACAAGGGGAATTTGTAGGATTTTCAAGTGCTTGTTCTAGGAGAACCTGCATATCTGCAGTAAACCAACTGCTTTTAGAATCGGAGATTGGAGTAATAGTAGGTTTATATGACCAGATCTTGGGCCCATGAAATAGTACAGTTTTAAATGTTTATGGAGGGAAAACAAAAAGCCAAAAGCCAGTGTATTCGATTTGTAAAAGATGATTTGAGTAAAAAGAAGATTGTGGAAGAGTAAAAGTCAGGGTATTTTTTAATCCTGATTTTCGAACCTTAACGCGCCAGAGGAAAAAAAGTTATTTTTCATTTTTTGAAGGTAGGAGCTGACCTTAAACTAAATAATTATTCAGAGCCTAAAGTGTACTTCATGGAATAGAGCTGGATATGTCAGTTAAATCTGGAACTTGAATATAAATTTAACTTGTAGGTTTTTTTTTTTAAAGACTTTTCTTGTAAGCAAAAGTTTGTGTGCAGAACTTAACTAACTCATTAGCAAAAGAGTGCAGTAACTTTGTGGACATCACAATTTTTTGTCAGAATAAATTTATGCTGTACTTACCACAAAAGCTATTTTCACATCTCATTTTTTTTTAATGGCACATGTATCTTTGTTACCATTTTTAATTGAAACGTGCACGGTTCCATTGTATGTTCTTGAATGGTTAATAGGAAGAGAAACATGGTCTTTTTCTACATGAGAATATTTGTAATTTAGCCAATCTGTTTTAAACATTTAACATCAGATTTTGAAAAACACATGTTTTGTAGTTTTTATTATGAATTGAATAGATTCAAGTTTATTAAATTAGAAAATCACAGGTTCCTCAAAAATAGTAATGAATGAGGATGTGACTGACTTACTGCCTGTTTTTCTAACCTGCTCAGCTTCTGGGCTGTGGATATTGAATTGTTTCAAACTTGTGGTTTTTTTTTCATGTTCTAATGGAGTATCTTTAAAACTGTCCCTAGTAACTTTGTTACTTTAAATTGTGACACCCAATTTCTAATTTAGGCTAGGCATAAAAACCAGCATTGATTGAAGGAACACACTGGCTAAAAATACTTTCTGGGTCAGATGTACTTAGAATTCAGCCTCAGGAAAATTCATTTGAAGTATTCTACTGTGACCAGTGTACACTTCATTATTATAGAAGGACTTAAAAAATTATAGACTCTCACAAATCAGATTTCATCAGTTCAGGCATAGAAGTCTAAGTTTTCTAAATGTGTAAAGTACTTTATGTAGGAGAGTAATAAAGACTTTTTTCATTGTTTATTTTTTACTTATGTGACTCCCCCCCAGACTATTATTAAAACTGTGATTTATATATTCCAGATTGTTTTGTCTTTAAATATAATTAGAGTTATAAAGTGACAGTACAATGTGTAGTGTTAACTAGTGTTTATTCATGACTTATATTCTTAACTCTTTAAGGGAGCTCAGTGGTCATGTTTTTGAGTAAATCTTTAAAGAACAAATTAAGAGAATGCCAGATACTTTCAAGGAGACTCTTGTTGACAGATACTTAGAGGACTTTTTATTCCCCCTTCTGAGGGCCAGTATAGTCAGTTTTAAACAATAAAACTTTAAAAAATATGTAAAAATCTTGTTTGGTGGATGTTCAGAGACAAATGTTTAAAAATTCTGCCTTTTTTTTTTGGAATTTTTTTTATTAAGGTATTGATATACACTCTTATGAAGGTTTCACATGAAAAGCATGTGGTTACTATGTTCATGCTTATTATCAAGTCCCACCCATACCCCATAGCAGTCACTGTCCAATCAGTATAATAAGATGCTACAGCCACTATTGTCTTCTCTGTGGGACACTGCCTTCCCCACGATCCCCACCACGCCATGTGTACTAATTAATCATAATAACCCATCAATCCTCTTCTCCCTCCCTCCCCACCCACCCCTCCCCTTTGGTAACCCTAGTCCCTTCTTGGGGTTTGTTAGTCTGTTGCTGTTTTGTCCCTTCAGTTTCGCTTCATTGGTACACAACACAAATGAGGGGAAATCATTTGGTACTTGTCTTTCTCCACCTGGCTTATTTCACTGAGCATAACCTCCAACTTCATCTATATTGGTGCAAATGTTAGGATTTTTTTCTTTCTTATGGCTGAATAGTATTCCACTGTGTTTATGTACCACATCTTCCTTATCAATTAATCTACTGATGGACACTTAAGTTGCTTTCATATCTTGGCTGTTATAAGTAGTGTTGCAATATACATGGGGGTGCATATATCTTTTTGAATCTGAGAAGTTGTTTTCTTTGGGTAAATTCCTAGGAGTGGAATTCCTGGGTCAAATGGTATTTCTATTTTTAGTTATTTGAGGAACCTCCATACTGCTTTCCACAATGGTTGAACTAATTTACCTTTCCACCAGCAGTGTAGGAGGGTTCCCCTTTCTCTGCATTGTCACCATCATTTGTTGTTTGTAGTCTTTTCGATGTTAGCCATCCTAACTGGTGTGAGGTGATACCTCATTGTGGTTTTAATTTGCATTTCCATGATAATTAGCGATGTGGATCATCTTTTATGTGTCTGTTGGCCATCTGAATTTCTTTGGAGAAGTGTCTGTTCATATCCTCTGCCCATTTGTTAATTGGGTTATTTGCTTTTTGGGTGTTGAGGCATGTGAGTTGTTCATATATTTTGGACGTTAACCCCTTGTCAGATATGTCGTTTGCAAATATATTCTCCCATATGTAGGATACCTTTTTGTTCTGATGGTGTCCTTTGCTGTACAGAAGATTTTTAGCTTGACCTAGTCCCATTTGTTCAGTTTTGCTTTTGTTTCCCTTGCCCGAGGAGATGCATTCAGGACAGAGTTGCTCATGTTTATATTTAAGAGATTTTTGGCTATGTTTTCTTCTAAGAGTTTTATGGTTTCATGACTTACATTCAGGTCTTTGATCCATTTTGAATTTACTTTTGTGTATGTACTTGGACAATAATCCAGTTTCATTCTTTTACATGTAGCTGTCCAGTTCTGCTAACACCAGTTGTTGAAGAGGCTGTCATTTCCCCACTGTAAATCCACGGCTCCTCTGTTGTATATTAACTGACCATATATGCTTGGGTTTATATGTGGGCTCTTTATTCTATTGCATTGATCTATGGATCTTTTCTTGTGCCAGTACCAAATTGTCTTGATTACTGTGGCTTTGTAGTAGAGCTTGAAGTTGGGAAGCGTAATCCCCCCACTTTATTCTTCCAGGATTGCTTTGGCTATTGGGGTCTTTTGTAGTTCCTTATGAATTTTAGAACTATTTGCTCTAGTTCATTGAAGAATGCCATTGGTATTTTGAAAGGGATTGCATTGAATCTGTAGATTACTTTAGGCAGAATGGCCATTGTGACAATATTAATTCTTCCTACCGAAGAGCATGGGATGAATTTCCACTTATTAGTATCCTCTTTAATTTCTCTCCAGATTGTTTTGTAGTTTTCAGGGTATAGATCTTTCACTTCCTTGGTTAGGTTTATTCCTAGGTATTTTATTCTTTTTGATGCAATTGTGAATAGTATTGTTTTCTTGATTTCTCTTTCTGCTTGTTTATCATTAGTATATAGGAATGCTACAGATTTCTGTGTATTTATTTTGTATCCTGTAACTTTGCTAAATTCAGTTATTCTTTCTAGTACTTTTGGGGTAGATTCTTTAGGGTTTTCTACATACAATATCATGTCATCTGAAACAGTGACAGTTTAACTTTTTGCTTACCAATCTGGATGCCTTTTGTTTCTTTGTGTTGTCTGATTGCTGTGGCTAGGACCTCCAGAACTATGTTGAATAAAAGTGGGGAGAGTGGGCATCCTTGTCTTGTTCCCGATCTTAGAGGAAAAATTTTCAGCTTCTCGCTGTTAAGTATAATTAATGTTGGTTGTGGGTTTGTCATAATGGCCTTTATTATCTTGAGGTACTTGCCCTCTTTACCTATTTTGTTGAGAGTTTTTATCATGAACGGATGTTGAATTTTGTCAAATGTGTTCTGGCATCTTTGGAGATGATCATGTGATTATTGTCCTCCTTTTGGTAATGTGGTATATGATGTTGATGGATTTTTGAATATTGTACCATCCTTGCATCCCTGGAATAAATCCTACTTGATCATGATGGATGATCTTTTTTGAGGTATTTTTTAATTAGGTCTGCTAATATTTTATTGAGTATTTTTGCATCCATGTCAGGGGTACTGGACTGTAATTTTCTTTTTTTGTGATGTCTGCCGGGTTTTGGTATTAGAGTGATGCTGGCTTCATAGAATGAGTTTGGATGTATTCCCTCCATTTCTACTTCTTGGAAAACGTTAAGGAGGATGGGTATTAGGTCTTCACTAAATGTTTGATAAAATTTGGCAGTGAAGCCATCTGGTACAGGACTTTT